GATACCGGATCTGTATTTTATTTCACAAAGTTTAATTTTGAAAAAAATAGATTCACAAATCCAAATTGTTCCAAACACACTTTAATGTGTTTCAGTGTCTCAATTGTGTCTGTGTTTGACTTTAAAATTTTAAATGAAATTAACAACTCATGTCTGCAGCCACATGGTCACATTTCAGTGCCCAATACTAGCTCAGTATGGCCGGTGGCTACTGCGTTGACCCACACAGATTATAAACTCCTTTTTAAATAAACCTTTCTTCCACGTCTTCCTTTATTTCCAAGCACCCACAGCCTTCTATCACCTCACATCCCAGCATTTTGGATTCATGGGAGATTGTCTTCGAAGGCATCTGGTCCAGCTCCCTCCTTCTATAGGATCAAGAGGAAGTGGCTTGTCCAATACATTTCATCTGCCTACCACTTAGGTGCAGGCTTTGCTCCCAGTGCTCTGCTTGGCATGTTGGGGTCAGACAGTGCAGGAGGTGCTTTGAGGGGTCTTCCCTGAGTGGTGAATGAGCCCCTTTCTTTCTGCCAGAGAACGTGGGCATGGTAGATCTCTGGGAAGCTCTCCCGTGTGCCTGTCCCCAGGCGCTCATGTGAGGTCGCAGAAGCAGCTGGCAGCTGCGGCCACCTGGCTCTCCAGCGCTGAGGTCAGGCCGGTTAGTTGGACAGACAGTCTGCTCCAGGAATGGAGGACAGACCCTGTGCTACAGCAGCTGGAACCGAGGCCAGTGCCTACTTATCCAAAGGGGCCACCCTCCGAGGAACGTGGAAAGGACCACCAGTCCCTCAGTGTTTTCCAGTCACAGCCCCCCTCCCCTTTTTTAAGGACTCCACCTGTCTCATCTGAAGATGAAGAATAATACATGACTATAATTTGAGAATTTCCCAAGTGTCTTTCTGTCACTTGTAACCATTGGCGGGTTTACTGCGTGTTTCTTTTCTGTTCCCCACGTGTTCAGAACTGCTCAGGTTCTCTCGGCGTCATCTTTATCTCGGATGCCAACGTTCATGAAATGACGATGGATCCATTTTTTCTTTGTGAAGGAAAAATATTGTGACTGTCTCCTATGGCGAGGCTGCTCTGCTTCTGGGAAAAGTGAAGTGGGTGCAGCATAAGATAGTTTCCATTCCATCAAAACATGCGCTTTCCTCATTACCCGGAGCTGGGGGCGGGGGCAGAAAGGTGTGGCCTCCCTGGCAGACAGGAACCGTTCCTCTTTTTCCGATCTTTTCCACTTCCGTGCGTCACCATGTCATAGCGTTTCAAAGTGCACAGCTCTTGTCACTTTAAAATTACCAAGTGACAGTATCATCTCCATAGACATCACCTGTGTTCTTGTTTGTGTGTCCACTCAGCTCAACAATGTGGAGACACAATTTAAAACGGCAGCCAAGAGTAGTCAAGTTATTAATTGGCTCAAGTCCGAGTCAAAGTTTGATTTAAGATCCTGGCAAGGTGTATGATAAATCGAGGGGGCAATTTTTCCCTGGCTGTGGTCTCTGCAGTTTGTAAAACATCCCAGTGAATTGATTTAGTTTTATTTCAGTGGAATACTTAGTCACAATTTTTTGATTTCTGGATTAGAAAGTATTTACAGTGTAAACATTACTGTATAGATGGCAAACGGGAAAGTGATTTTTATTTTTATTTTTCTGTACTGGTTTTATGCTGTAATAATGCACAGACAGGAAATATTCTAGGTGAAACTTGTTGCTTCTGCTAAGAAATCAGGAATTATTTGGGACCAACTCATAAGGAAACATTTAACAGGAGGAGTTACTGTTTGGCGTCACTTCTGGTGACAAAGGCGAGCCCGAGAAGACCAGGACTTGTCCTGTCTGCCGAGTGCTGGTTTTCAAATTGCGCTCACCCAGACTACCTTCTGGAGGAAGGGTCGGGGGCCAGGAAGCTGGGGCTCTAGGAAACCACTGTTTCAATTCAGCCAAGCAGCTCGGCTGTTACATTTATCATAACTGCCTTTCCTATAGGACTTATCCAAGAAAAATGTCTGTGGCTAGCAAAAGTTTGAAAGATCACGCTTTTAAATTATTTTGAAAGGATTGCTTCAGAATTCTTGAACCTGGAACTTTAAAAAAAACAAAACAAAACCCAGAACAGATTTTTTTCCTTAACTTTCAACAGCTTTGATACTCCATGCATAGCCATCGCCTTCCTGGGTAAGTCCTGCCCATAACACCCTCTTGGCCAATGGCAGGGGTAGGACTAGGAGAGTCCCCTGTATAGGGGTGACCACTGGACCATTGAGCCTTGCTTCAGAAATGCTATAATGCCATTTCTGTCGCTCCCCCTCCTTGCTGTCAGAGACCTGCTGCTTGCTCAGCGACAGCTGGACAGTCGTTTTTACTTTGAAGATTCACTCTAATTCTGTAATTTCCCAGGAGAGAATGGACTCTTGAGGCTTAAGTGGAAAAGTTTTCTAAATCTTCAAACAGTAAAGTGTTTAAAGGCTCTTTATATGGTTCAGTTTCAGCTATTATAAGGACTCGCTTACTAGAATTATTGGCAGAACTGTCAATTCAGTTTGGAAGGACAAAATATTGTGGCTCTCTTGCATAAATGTCTTTGTGTTGAGAATAAGTACGCAGGGAGCTTGAGAGTTACCTGTCAGGGCGCACACTGGGTAAGGAGAAAGGCACTACTAAGACCCTAGTACAGGGGTGGGCAAACTTTTTGACTCGAGGGCCACAATGGGTTCTTAAACTGGATCGGAGGGCTGGAACAAAAGCATGGATGGAGTGTTTGTGTGAACTAATATAAATTCAAAGTAAACATCACATAAAAGGGTACGGTCTTTTTTTTTTTTTTTTTTTTTTTTTTTTTTG